ACACCCCCAGGTTTTTCTCTGCCGGGCAGCTCACCAGCCACTTGTCCCCAAGCCTGTAGCGTTGCATAGGATTATTGTGACCGAAGTATAGGACCTGGCATTTGGTCTTGTTGAATCTCACACAGTTGGTCTCGGCCGATCAATCCAGCCTATCCAGATCCCTCTGTAGGGCCTTCCTACCCTCCAGCAGATCAACACTCCCACCCAACTTGGTGTCATCTGCAAACTTACTGAGGGTGCACTCGATCCCCTCGTCCAAATCATCAATGAAGATGTTAAACAGAACTGGTCCCAACACTGAGCCCTGAGGAACACCACTTGTGACCGGCCGCCAACTGGATTTAGCTCCATTCACTGCCACTCTCTGGGCACGGTCGGCCAGTCAGTTTTTCACCCAGGATGTAGATCCAATTAAAAGAGCAGGGCTTTTGCACACAGCTTTTAAACAACAAAATAAAGCTGCTTTTGAAAAGCTGCCATAAAGGTGCTTTTTATTTCATTCTCCACCTTTCCTACTAGCACGATACAAGTGAAATTAGAACCCAAGTTGAAAAAATTGACAGACAAATTGTACCAAGTGTAATATTTTTTAGCTGTATGGTATTTGGCATTTGTGGGATATATATTTATTCAGGATCCACTGTAAGAGTTAAACCAGCAATTCCATACTATTTAGATTGGCCATATAAGAAATATTTTATTTTGGATATATATGGCTTACAAAATATTTGCTCCAGCTTTTCAAAAATTCAGTGTGGGTTTGGCTAAGGGACCTCCCACACCTTCAACTCAGAGGTAATACTTTGGAAAGGCTAGGATCCTCATATAGAATGACACTCCATCTTACTATTTATACTCCTGTATTACTCCATTATAATTTATATTGCTCCAGACGACAGAAGGCCTCATTTTGGACCAAAACTCCAGTGAGCTATACACTGTATAAATATAGATGAAGATGATGTGTCTGAGCTTATGAAAGACACAGATAAGGAGAAAGTTGTACACCCAGGGCTTGAGTTACAAGTGAGTTAGTATTTGTTTTGAAGAACTGATCGTCACATACTGTTTCACACATTGAAATCCTTTCTGTCTACCCATCTCCAGTAGGTACGTACCCAGTCAAGCACCCATTAGAAAAGGAGTCTGCTTTACCTGAAGGGTGTGGAAAGCACGGTGTTTGGAGTCTGAACAACCTGTTTCTGTGGTGTTACCCCCGAAAAATCACTTTCATGCAAGGGAGTGTTAAGACCTCCTTTCAGAGGGGTATCCACATTTGTGAGAGCCATCAAATTCTGGGCTTCCTGTATAACAGACAACACATGCAATACATTACTAAAACTTTCACAGTCACACTCCACTATACATGTTTAACAGATTCAGTAGCAGCATGAACAGCTGAAGAGTTATTTGAATATCAATCAGTTTGTGGAAAACGTTTAACACTTCTTAACTTTAACACCCATATATCGGTATTTACAAACCCTACTATTCCAGTGAAGGAATTTTAATCTTCATTTCCAGTAAAATATATTATAAATTGGAGTTGCAAAAATGAGTGGGTTACTTATGTTTCAGCTTCCTTCATTTTGCCATAGTCCATAAATCTAAAAGATTTATTAGTGACTGAATACTCAAGTCATCCTAAGGATCCTGATTTTCAGAGGGAGCAGCACGCTTGCACTCTGAAATCCACCATCAATTAAATTTATCCAAACTGCATGTCAAAGAGAATGTTCCAAAAGACATGCTCACTATTCAGATTCTTGGTCCATGACTCAATTGGGGCTTTTATGAATATCTCTCTACTTTTTTATTTCATTCTTCCTTTTTACAATGAAGAATTAAGCCACTCTGAAAATGAACTGAGATAATGAAACTACTGCATATAGCAATTAGCTTCACAGAAGACCACTAACTCATCTACAGAACTGTGTATATGCATAATACTGCAACATATTCTACCTATATTCTATCATGTATTCTATACGTGATGTCAAAGTACTCCATTTGAAGGTGAACATGACCATTCCTCCAAACACTGCACAGAGACCTAGGTGATAATGTGTAGAGTTGGGAACTTTCTCTTTTCTCCTATCATGAAAGAAAAACTGTTGAAATATAGCCCATCACCAAAATAGGGGTTTTGTTGTTTTGTGTTGGAGTGGAGCTTTGTTTGTTTGTTTTACACACTAGCCGCACTGATTTCATTTAGCCATTTCCCCACACCCAACAAAACGTTACCCAGTGCTACCAGTTTTTGAGAGAACCCAGACACACAATCAGTGCAACATAAATATAATTCAAAGGTTGCAAAGGTAGGCTTTTGACAATCTTTGTCTTAAGTGGTTTTAAGCCAATAAAGTACTAGGAAAATGTTCTAGCATTGTTGCAGTTAATTACTTCTTGTTAACTGAAATAAAAGCTGAACAGCAAAATAAAGTAGGAAACAACATAAAAGACACTGCTTTAAGGACATGAACAGCACGTACATCTTTGATGCTGAGATGTACTCAAGACAAGGAGAAATTATACAAGACACCAGGAGAATGGTTAATGCTAAAAGTTGCACACAATTAAAAAAAAAAAAAAAAGTTTTATAGTGTTTTGAAGCTTGATGACAACTGATCATATAAAAGTGGATCTGCTTCTATTCCTTTCACTGTGTCCTGGAGACCACGTGCCAGTTCAAACCCCAGTACTGCACATAATCTAAGTAATGTTTCTATCATACTTACACTTTCTATTCAGTTGACCACTGCACTAAAACAAAAAGCCCATTCTGTACATTTATACTCTACCTGCAGGATCCTGTCTTGTGCTGCTGGAGTTTTGGGAGTCCTTAGTGCTATGCTGTTGTTGGTAACGTTATATTCAGACAGAAGAGTGCTGGAAGCTGAGTTTGTAATTCCAGATTCCTCAGCAGTCTGGCGTGCAATCTCACTCGCCTGGCCTACTTTTACAACTTCTTCAAGTTCTGTATCAGATATCTTTAAAAGGAAAACAATACCAAACCACGCATTATCAAATGCAAAAACAAAATCCTTATTTGCTTGTCAGAAAGTACTTGCCATTTGCTTTAACAGCACTACAATACAGTCTCCTCGTACCATTAGCCCCCTCCCACATCTGTATTGCACTAGTGCCACTTACCATGCTCAAAACAGACAAAGAAAACCCCTCCAGTTTCTAAAATACCACAGTCACAAGATACAGCCCATTTACATCCTGAAGAAGGCTCAAACATACGATAATATAATATATCTCCCTTGACCTTTCCCCCCCAAGTCTACTTTAAAAAAAAATCACTCTGAGATAAATCTTTCCTCCGGACCTACTGGATTTGGTCAGCTTATGTCTTCCAGCAAAGAGAAAATTCCAAGGCATATTAAGACAAAATATGACCACAAGATCCACTTGATAAAACCAAAATCACTGATTTGCACTGGTCTTAAAAGTTGTTTATTGATCAATGCACAGCTTACCTGAGGAGCTGGAAGCACTAGCTTACTTCTTTTTTTAGTAAATTCTGACACTCCGCTGGTCTGTAGAATAGCTGAAGGCAAGTCTGAGTCTTTTTTCCGTTTCATATGCTGTTTGTCTTTTTTGCGCTCTCTTCCCTCCCTTTCACTGTCATTATGGATAAGAGAATCATTTTAGAACACACAGAACAGCTACAACGTAAAACAAACAAGCAAAGAGGAAAAAGACTGTATCCTAATCAAAAATTGGATATGCTGAAACAAAACATGTTGCAGGAAGAGTGAACCACCTTGTGGTGCAGAGGTTAAGTGACTAGATATGGTCTGCAGATCTTGCAGTAGAACCTACACAACAAAGCAGTGTAATGGTTCTAAATTATGGAATTAGGCAACAGGTGGTTGCTTCAGCTACAATCAGCAGCATCAACTGGAAAAAGAAAAAAAAAGTCAGTCCAAGAATTTAGATAGCAAGAACCAGAGCATGTCAGCAGTCCCTTTTCCTCCAGCATCTGCTAAAAGGAGAGTATTTTTTGTGGGATATGGGAATCAAGTTCTCTTCAGTATTTATGAAAATGGTATTTTCTTCAAACAGTGATGGAGTCAGTCTGTGAAGTCATAATTTAGTAATCCATGGCAGTTTGAAGCTCCTGACAGACCCTCTGAACTAAGAATTGTACAGCAAGAATTAATTAGATATCACGCTAATAAACCAAATCATACGTAGACTGGACCGATTCTCTGGGTAAAAAGCAGTTGGCAGAAGTAGTGGGAAATGCAACTGTACAATTAAATATGTGCCATACTGCTGATAAAGAAGATAGGCATTTAGTTTCTCAACTGTATGTTCTGGGATTTTTTTTGGAGGGAGAGGGAGAAATTAAGCACTTAAGGAGATTCTACTTTAGAACAGTTCCACCAAAAGTAATACTACAAGTAAAACCTACTCCTGTAAGCAATCTTAATAATGGTATGACTTGGACAAGGATTGCAAACACATAATCTACTGCTAAAACAAAATGAACTTGAAAAAACTTAGTATTTCCATTTAAAGAGCAATAATGTGCATGAGGAACTTTATTCTCATGGAAAAAAGGTCAACTAGACCTTGTCGAATGATAAGAAATACAGGAGACTGAAAAGGCAGAAGCAACCTTCACTAGTATCTGTCCCATGGAAAATATAACTCCTGCCTACATTATATTTCAGACATTTCCAGGACTTAACAACACAAACTTACGATCTTAATTCTCCATCCAGGTCTTGCTGACGTAGCTTCCTGAAATCTGCATCCAGAGACTGGTAGTTTTCCTCTGATGTATCATAAAAACCAGGGGCAGGCTTCTTCTCAAATGGAATTTCTGCATTATAATCCACACCTCTCTTCTTTTTTCTTTTCTTCTGGATCTCAATTCCAGCAGCGCGAAGTTCTCGTCTTTTCTGGAGAGCAGCAAGCCGTCTAAGACAACAGTAATGCTACATGATTTAAAGTGCATACCTATAGGTGGTTCCTGTATCCTAAGATCTGGTACTACTTTAATCAGTTACTGCTGTGATAGGGCTGCACATATTTATACAAGAAAGAAGTTCTTGCCATAAATGACAATCAAAGAGTCAGATTTTGCAATGACTTAAGGCTGTGCCTGACTACGCATTGTAAATGCTCCAGTCAACAAAAGCAGTCCCAATATATGAAACTAAGCACAAGCTTACCTAGCTTCTTCCAACTGCTTCTCTCTTGCTTTTCTTTTGGCCTTCTTTCCTTGTGTATTAGCCAGACGGGCTCTAGCTTCAGACAGCATTTCAAGTTCATCTACAATAGTGCAGACAAATACAACTATGAATTTGCACTTAAAGATAGGAGTAAGGGGAAAAAGTGACATTAAGATCAGAAAGCAATCTTTAAAAGCTGAATGAATCAACACTTTCACAGGCATTCTGCGAGATCGCTAAACTAATTTTCTCCAAGTTGCTCTAATGTATTTTATAAATCATTGCCCATATGAAAAGAAGACTTTAAGAAAAAATGCCTAATGTTGAAAATAATTCAACTAATTTCTTCAGTAAATCAAAGTATCTATAGAAAGAGGCAAACTGAATCCACTAATGAAATTATGATTTCATTTACACCTTCACTGGAAAGTACTATATTAAAGAACTTGTTAATTTCATTTACATCCAGATTCAAGAGCGCTGTATTTGTGAACCTGTGACTGTTCAAAAACAGTGCTAAAATTCCATGAGTGGACCAACAATGTTCATGTTTTAGTTCAAAACATTGCTACGTGCAAGGAAAAAAGCCACATAGTTGTCCTGTGCTTCAGCAGCGATTCACCTGGGAGGTATGAGCTGATGGAAAAAGAATAATATACAGAATTAAGAATGGGAACAAGCAGAGCAGTTGTCAAAGCACAGTCAGTCATGGCAAGAGATGACAAAGACAGATGAGAAGATAGGAAGCAAACCAAGGTAAAGAAAAGAAAACTGGAAAAGTATAACTGACTGGTCAGACACAGAAATAAGACAAAAGCCATAAGAACAAATGGGGTGGAGGACGACAGACAAAACAAACCCAGGGTACAGAGGCTGTGTAAAAAGAAAAACCAAATACACTGGATTTCTTTCAAAAGTGGTAAACAAACTTGTATCTTACCTTCATCCATGTCAATAGGATCTGGCCTGGCTGGTTTGGTTTCTGGATTTGGATCAATTTCTCCAGGTTTAAGTTTCCGAGGATCATCAGCAGTTTCTTCCTCATTGTCTCTCTGAGCAGCTTTGTCCCTAAAAACACATTGTATGTACTGCACAAGTGGCTCTTTGTTTTCCCCCTCAAGGCTCATAATAACCATCCCTTAAACGTCTCCAAAGACTGATCAAAAAAAGTAATCTTGCACGAGGTACCATAAAATAAACTTGTTATACAATTACTGCAGAAAAGATTCATGAACATGGTACAGTTACATAATCTTAAATTAGACAAGGGAAAGAAGCCAACATAGTATTACATTACAACAATAAAATACTATATAAAATACAATAATGACAAAGCTACCAGTAGAGAACTCTCCTTGGGTAATCTTTAATAGTAAGGACAAGAATTCAAGCAGTGTGACAAAACAAACAATTGAGTGTTTCCCATTATACTTTTATATTCAACCAATCACACCAGAATTAAGCAAGCTCACAAGGGAAAACAGTACTTTCCTTCTCTTCTCATGGCCTAACGAGACCCTCTGTAGCATACAGAGATAACGGCTTCACATTCAGCCATTTCAACATGTATTTTATGTCTGTATGTCTGCCTTTTTTTCCCTCTCTCTCACACACTCACTCATGCCGATCAGCCAGTCAAGAAATACCCAAATAAACCTCAAATGGAAGCCTGTAAAAAGTACCAATCTTGACACTCCTCTAGCCAGAAAGACCAGAAGCAAGAAAGTATACACCTAGCTCATATTCAAGCCTGCTCTCCCAGGTTTCAGCAGCGTCTTCTTTCAAGCTAGACACATTGACTGAAAGGAAACAGTCTTTAACGACACGTTTACCAAAGGACTTGGTCAACCTGAAACCATCATACTTCAGTACCATGGGAGACAGGAATGACAGATTGCTACAACAAACTGCAGATTTTCCTGGTATGCACCTCTAGCAAAACAGTAACTCACAGAAGAAATTCATAATGTTCCAAACATTGTGCAGCAGTTCTTCCAATAATTGGGGCAATGGTTCTCCACTGGGTTGGCATGAGCTTGGCCAGGTGCAACAGTTTCTCCTCTTCTTCTCGTGACCACTCTGTCTTTTTGATGCTCGGGTCTAGCCACTCATACCTGTTAAAAAGTGAAATAATTAAGGATAACAGATCCAAGCTGTCCATTGATTTGTCTTGAATTAATTCAGAACAGTGTTTACCCAAATCATCACAGCGAGATTTCAAAATCTTGTCATGCAAATTTCATACAAGTTTCTTCTATACAAAAGGATGTTACTGCAGAGTACTTTTATGACATGTGTGTTTGAGCTTTAAAATGTATTATTTATCCACCACTTTTCATACAGATATTGCCTCTTCTTCCTTTCCCCATCTCTTTTCTGGCAAAGTAAGGAGTCACAAAATCAATCCACAAAAAGAAAAGTAAAAATTAAAACAATCAAAGGTACCAGAAATGGTAGATTTGTTTGGTCTGGATCCTTCAACAGTTATCTTACTAATCTTCAACTGTGCCAGTACTGTTATCTTTATATAGAAGTATTCTAATAAATATGTGCAGTTCAATACTTGAGAAACTAAGTCTGATTCTCAAATAGATTTGTACTGGATGTATTTGCATTAGTTCTAAGCTTCTGTCTTTTTTATATAGACTGAAATTCCACAGTGCAATTTCTAAACATTTATCCTCAAGACAAACTCGTATTATGAAAAATTAGAAAATTATCTCTAACAGAGATTAATATCTTACAATTCTGATTCACTGGCAATACTCACTGATTAAAAATGTGTAAACATGGGAAAAAAAATCATGTACGCAATTTTAAGTGATCCTGCATTTGCTAACACTGCAGTCACTGGCAAAAAGAACATTTGCCTATTTTTGTTCAATTACTTTCAAGCAACAGGAATTCAAAACATCCACAATAGCAGAAATCAAACAATCTTAAAACTATTCTTCCTCTGTGGACATAAATTAATCTGTGGTAATTTCTAAATTCCCACTAACTATAAATCTCATATTCCCAGACATGGCACTTCTCACTTACCATCTGGCTTTGCATTGCTTTGCTGATTTTCTGTGCAATAAAGAAGCAATACGAGACCACTGATTTTTGCCATATTTCATCACAGCTGCTTTCAGAATTTCATCCTTTAAAAAAAACAACAAACAAACAAACAAAAAACCACCATTATGAATCACAAGAACTCACAAAACAGAAAGTTTGAGCTCAAGCAGAGGAGAACACGGTGGGTTTCATCTAATGGGCTGACCCAGTGGAAACAGCACATCACTGCTACTTCTTTTTCACATTTTATTCTCAAGATGAACGAGGATTTGTATTTCAAAGGCCAAGGAAAACAATAAAGATTAAATGAAAAAGACATGTGATGATTACTGTGGCCAACTTCACAGACCTGACAGAACTTTGAATGCTCTCTAACGTACAGTTTTTAAAGGTTCTGTATGTCTTCCTTGAAGGACAGCAATAAAAAGGTAGGGAAGTGTTTATCTGGTACTGACACAGCATTTGGAAAAAAAACCAGAATTGATAGATACCTCTGGGTGGCTTTTCTAAAACAATATAATATATTTTTTTAAAAATTTTAATGCAAATGTCAATGAAATATGCTTAAAAGAAAGCATCACAGAAATAAAGGAACTTTATAGCAGGTTTCTCTTTTACAAGTAAATCTTAAAATAAATCACTTTAATGTTCAGAATGTAAAATCCAAAAGTGCTCATCCAAAAGCTTATAAACCTCTGGGTAAAAAAAAAAAATGCACCATTACATAGAATCATAGAATCATTATG